TGGGCCAGCTGGTGGTCGGCCTGCTCCGTCTCTGCCGCTTGCCAGCTACGCCTCGGCCGGCGCAGGGGGCGGAACCACACATGCGCGGCGCTCCCGGGCAGGGAAAGTCCTCGACTTACGACCGGTTGGGTAGTCCTCGACTTACGACCGGTTTAGTCCTCGACTTACGACCGGTTTAGTCCTCGACTTACGACCGGTTTAGTCCTCGACTTACGACCGGTTGGGGTCGCGGCATTAAAAAGGTTGAGAACCACTGGTTTAGGCTGTGAGCAGTGAAGATGAGAAGTCTTCCTCCCCCTCCCCCCACAAGAAGCAATGGGGAGCTAAGAGGGTTCTGAGTATCTCATGCCTTTGACTCGGAGATTCCGCCTTGCCCTGGGATGCTGTGTCTGCCCGCCAGGAGCGTCCAGGTGGCCCAACACATGTCATGCCAGTCCCACAGCTTCATGTTTCTCTTTCCCAAGGCCTCTTGAACCCTCTCCTTATCTCAGATTACATCTTTCAGTTTCTCTTCCAGAGCCCAGCCCCTTGCCGGAGCCCCTTAAAAAAAAGCACCTGGTTGAGATTCTGTCCCACAAAAAGGCCTACAACACAGGTGAGTAACAGCCAGCGGGCCAGGAGGGTGCGGAGAAGACCTCGGGGCACTGGACAGGCAGACGGAGCCTTTGCCCAAGCTGGGGGTGCCCACAGGTGTGGCCAAAAAGATCAAGGGGATGTGCTGCACATAAAAAAAAATGGGGTGTTTGGATTGCCCCATTGCGGCCACCATCTTGATCTTTTTGACTACATCCTGCAGTTACCAACACCATCCCAAACTCCTGGAAGAAAGGTAAGAGATCAGTCAGAGGATTGGAAGGACCTTGGAGGTCTTCTAGACCAACCTCCTACCCAGTGCAGGAATCCTCATGTCACTCTGAACAATGGACCCTCCAGTCATTTCTTGAAAACCTTCGATGATAAAAGAATAAAAAGGTCTCTGGCAGAAAGTGCCATCACCCTCATTCAAAAATCACTGGGGGGTGGGGGTGGGCAAACAATTGAGACTTAGTGCTACCGTGCTGGAGGGAGGGGGGCCATCCATGTGGTCCTGGCTGGTCCTGGCCCGAAACCAAAGCCGCTTCGGCAAGGCACACCCAGCATCCCCGCTGATGCCTTCTCCTCCTCCTCCGGCCAGCCATCTTGATTGCGCACCTTAAGCTCTCCCACATCAAGCTGCGCCAGATCCTCCTGAGCATGGAGAGCGACCGCCTGGAGGCCTCTCACCTCAAGCAGCTGCTGCTCTTCGCGCCTGATGCCCAGGAGGTGCAGCGCTTCCACAGCTACCAGGGCGACCCCAGCAAGCTGAGCGAGCCGGACCAGTTTGTCCTGCAGGTGAGTGAGCGAAGTCTTCTGCTGGGGAGAGCCGGGAGGGGTCCGATGGGGGGTTTGGGGCCATGTGGATTTTTTTTAGCAGCCCCCCGAAAAGCCTGGCGACGGGTGCATTGTCCGTGGAAAACCTCTTCGGAGTGATTGGTGTCGGAGTAACACAAATCACCGACCAAGGATAAACCTGTTGTGGCTCCGTCTTGTGAGCCCCTCTTATCGGAGGAAGAAGGCTCCAAACATGAAGGAGAGGAGATGGCTAGGCCTCCCTCTCCAGGACCCTCCTCTTTGGCAATGCCTCAGGTGTCTCCCGACGGAGAAGAGATTGACCAGGAGCCAGGTGGTTCTGAGATTGGCCAGGAGCCAGGTGTGTCGGATAATGAGGA